AAACAATCAAGCAAGCTTAAAACATAACCAAATAAGCCAGGTGGTGGTGGCGCACGCCTTTAATCCCAGCACCTGGGGGGCAGAGGCAGGCGGATCTCTGAGTTTGAGGCCAGCATGGTCTACAGAGCAAGTTCCAGGATAGCCAGGGCTATACAGAGAAACCCTGTCTCAAAAAAAACAAAGAAACAAAAACCAAGATGTATGCAAATGCGTTATATAATGGTTTAAAAGTTACAAAGTAAAAATAAACAGTTTCAATACGGAGCACTAGAGAACCTGATTGGGTAAATGTCAGTGTGTCTAGTGGACACACAGTGCTGTGTACCCCACTTAAAACTGCTCACGGCAGTGTGCAGTGGGATGGAACCACTTCTGCCGGGACATAAGATACATAAAACCAGAAAAGTGGGCCTGAGCATATGTGACCTCAGTCCCAAATCCGAGAGGCAGACTGTACTTTTGGGGGCGACCTGGGTCACATAGCGACTGCATCTTTTAAAACGGGAGAGAGGGAGCGGTGAACAAATAGAGAAGGAGGAGGAGAAGAAAAAATAGGAAAAAGAGGAAAGCCAACTGGCGTGGTGGCACGTGCCTTGAACTCTAGCTTTCAGAAGACAGAAGCAGGTGCTTTTCTGTGAATCCAAGGCCAGCCTGGCCTACTGAGCAAATTTCAGACCATCCAAAAGTACGCAGTGAGATGCTGCCTCAGAAACCAAACCAAAAGCATGAATACAGAATGGCACATTATAACCAACTTGCAAAAGTTATGTGCATATAAGCAAAACTGGAAGTTAATACAGAGAATAAAAATCTTCTAGATCGCTTTCCCGCCTTTTCAGAATTTTCTATAATGGTGATGATTTATCTTTTGTTTTAAGAATGAGTTAGACCAAAAGGGTACAAAGGTTCTGAGCTCAGGACTGAGAATTAAGGCCTATGTTTTCTTGTTCTTTTTTTTTCTTCCTTTCCCCAAAACCAGATGCACCACTGGCCTTCATAAGCCTTGAGTTTTCCATCAGAACTTGGGTTAGCACTAGTTTCTTTTATCCCAGAATGAACGGAACATTTATGAAACCCTCAGCTCACTGAATATGAGGGTTTGTATGAGTCTGGTTTGGGGATGAGAGGCAAAATGCAGAGGGAAAGACAAACAGGCACCAATTAACTTTAAAAGGAAAGATTATCTGCTTTAACGGGAGATGCCTGTGTAATGTGCCCCTAGTGTGAGTCGGGAGTGTGCCCTGGGTGAGTTAGCAACTTCAGTTAAAGGTACTCTGTAGTCCCTTGGGCTGTGAAGACACAAAGCTGCCACACACACACACACACACACACACACACACACACACACTTGCACAGAAGTGTGCACTTTGAATAATCGCACACAATATGCAGTTTTAGTGGCTGGACTGATTATGTGTCAGAACAACACAGCACCCACGTGACGGGGGAAAGATCAAGACATTTTGCAAGGCTGGTTTAATCTCCAAGTTCTTTGTGACTCCTTTAGTAGGGACAGGGGAGATTGGATTATCTTGTTTCCTGGGAAGGTTACTCAGCGCCCCAATCCCATTAAAGTCACTTTCTACACTCCAGTGCACCGGCCTTCCCCAGGTTATCAGCGAGGGGAGAGTAAACCGAGACGCTGGAATCCGATTTCTAAGGAGGAAAGTCAAAGCGCAGCCTGAAAGGGGTGACAGCCAACGGCCAGGAGCAGAGGAACTCAATTAGACTGGGAGACAACGATCTCATTATCTCCTCTGAAACGGTGCAAACACGTGAGACTCTAGAAGTTTTAAGTAAACGTGTCTTCCCGGCCGTCTAGATGACTGAATTTCCTTCTCAGGGAACTTTTGAGCGCCCACTTTTGTATTTATTTATTCTAAGTGCAAAGCAGCTGAGGTAATTACGCTGTCAGATTCACTAAGCTAATGAGCAAGTCACCGAGTGGAAGGGCTCGCCTTGCTGAGATCACTGAGGGAGAGCCATCGGCTGCCTTCCCTCTCCCTTCCCTTCCCATCATTTTCTCCCCTGCCTTCTCATTTTCCTTTACAGTGTGTTAGGAAAGAGAGTCCGGCAGTCTTCGGCCGACTTGAATCCTTTTGATTAGACTCTCAGTCTTTCAATCTCTCTCTCTCACGCACACGCTCTCTCTTTCCCTTCCTTTCTCCCTCTCTCCCTCCCTCTTTCTCTTCTTCCCTTCCTCCCTCCCTCTCTCCCCCTCTGTATCTTCCTCCATCTCCTTCCCTCCCTCTCTCTCCCTTTTTCTCCCCCCCCTCCCTGCCTCTCTCTCCTCTCTCTTCCTTCTCCCCTCCCCCCCACTCCTCCTCCTCCTCATCCCTACTTTTGTGGGGCAGGGAAGCCTCAGGGAACCCCAAGCTTTTCATGCCACTGTCTCCAAGGTGAGAAGGGGTCTCCTAAATCGGCTCCTATTTGAGTCTACAGAGTCGGCTGCGAAGTATAGACCCTGTTTATTTTAGCAGATTAACTGTTTATGCTGTGATGGGGCACATTTTAGCATCCCTGTGAAAAAAGTCTTATCCGGATCAGCAAAAACTTATTCTCCTCCCCATCCCAGCCTAGCAAATCTCTAATTCCAAAGCACAGATTTCCCACAGAGTTGAAGCAGAGATTCCAGGCCCAGCCAGGCAGGGCCAACAGTGCAGCTTCTTTCTTCCCTCTGGGTGCAAACAGTTCCGAGCAAACAACATCATTAAGACATTATGTGCCTTTGGTGTGTCAAACACAGGAGTCTGCCTCTGATACATACTGAGCTCTTTGGAGCAACCTGTCCCGCAGACCATGAGCCTGGGAAAGCAATGCCTGAGTTCCCACTGTAAGCAAGTTCTGTGCGCTTCCCCGGGTGAGCCCAGGCTCCTGAGCTGCCTGGCTCTTGACCCCAGCAACGGCAACTGTTCGGCACCCACTGAATGTCAGAAACTGTGGAAGGCAGCTCGCACACATTCAGTTTTTGTTTTTGTTTTTTTAACTCATGACAATCTGCTGGGAAGTTTTGTTCTCCTGTCAGGCAGATGAGCTCCTTAGCTTTGGAAGAACTTGGCCCATCGCTCTGTTGAACCCACTCAGAGACACAGGCGTCTGTGGAACTGCAAACCGCCAGGGTGCCCAGTCAGTCAAATCCAGACTGTCTCTGACGGGCAGTGTTTTCATTGAAGAGTTGTTTCAACGTTAGAATGGAGTGATGGCCACAGGCACTCAGAAGGAACCACAGAATGGGCCTCCCATGCCTGTGGGTCCCCCACTATAGAGTCTATGCGTTTTGGATTTAGACAACCCCACATATTCAGGGGCCTGTGTCTGGCCTCCACATGGGCCAACTCTTCTCTGGTCATTATTTCCTTTAAGATGGCCGTATAACTGTTTATACAGTGAGTACCACATTAGGTTTGGTGAGTAATCTAGAGACAACTTAAAGGACACCATGTGTGTGTGTGTGTCTGTGTGTGTGGGTGTGTGTATGTGTGTGTGCGTGTGTGTGTGTGTCTCTGTGTGTATGTAATATGCACAGAGGGGTCTGCTTTACACGAGAGACTCAGCATCTTTTGGTACACACAGGAACCAGGGCACCAGGGATGACTTCATCCTAAGTTTTGATCTTTTGGGGGTCTAGTGATGCTCCCTCTCCTCACTGGGTGACAACAGACCCTTACATGCTCCCAGCCTCCCAGTCGCCAGGGTAAACAACCAGCTCTACCATGTACAGTGTTGCTAAGTGCTAGTGTTCCATAGGTTAGGTGTGTTTAATGTTTGTTGTTGTTTTGAGATAAGGTCTTATCAAATACATTTTTATTTGTTTATATACGTGGGTATTTTGTTTGCATGTATTCCTGCACACCTGAAGAAGGCATCGGATCCTGTGGGACTATAGTATAGACCATTGTAAGGCACCCAGTGGGTACTAGAAATTGAAGTCAAGACGTTTGAAAAAATGGCTGCTGATTTTAGCCGCTAAGTCATCGTTCCAGCCCCTTTAAAAGCATTTTTGATGGAGCTGGAGAGATGGCTTGATGGTTAAAAGTAACAGCGTTCTTCCAAAGGACCAGTTCCTAGGTTCAGTTCCCAGCACCATTGCCATGGATATACCTGTCTGTAACCTCCAATCCCAAGGGATCCGGTGCCCCATTCTGGCCTCCACAGGGACTGCATGCATAGTGCACAAACATACATACAGGTAAAATACATGTGTGAATACCTGTTATCTTTCTTTCATGCTGGGAATTGAACCCAAGGACTTACACTGGCTTACCAGGATATACCCCATGGGAAGTCAAGGAGCATGGGAAGTCTGTGTATATGGATAAAGGTACTACATAAAGATATTTCAAAGCATTTTGCTTTTCCTTTTTCACTTATCAAATCCATGACTTAGAGTCTATCTGAAGTCTTTAGGGCAAGCTTCCTAATTCTGCAACCTTTTAATACAGCTCCTCGTGTTGTGGTGACCCCCAACCAAAAAATAACTTTGTTGCTACTTCATAACTGTAATTTTGCTCCTGTTACAAATTGCAATATAAATGTCTGATATGCAGGATATCTGATATGCAGGATATCTGGCATGCAACCTCCCAGAAGAGTCGCGACCCACAGGCTGAGGACCAGTGCTCCAGAGACTAACTGTATATGACAGGTTTTTCAGTCTTATCCCGCGTGATGTTCATTGCCGGCCCTTGGTGGGACTTCAGTCTGGACTCCTGGGCATGATGTTCTAACTCTTCACCTTGGGTTCCAGATCCTTCCCCACTTTCACCCACTAATGTTCCCTTGGCAGATATGCGCTGAACCGAACTAAATAGGGAGCACTTGACAACTATTAGAGATTCAGTAAAGGAAGTCACCCCCGAGTCAGTATAAGGTTATTAGCCAGTCTGCCTGTTTTGACTTCTCCTTGGGTAACAGATGTTACAACAGGCAGACAAGATATATGTCCTGTGAACAAGCTCAGGAAATCACAGGTTGATGCGTTCCTCTTTCCTTCCCTACAGAGGAGTCTTTGTTTGCAGTTTCGGGAGTGAAGCTGAAGCCAGAAATGTGTGACCTTTCGGCCTCCTACAGGAAGGGTCACTACCTAGCCGGCTTTAACAAATGTTGGTGAAGAGAAAAGGTCATCCGGATCTTTCAGGTAAATGGTTCCAGAGTCAGCACGGGGTCACTGCCGGCTGGAGGGAACCCTGTTCACCTCTGCCCTGGGTCTCCCCCTCCTTGGACAGCCTCTTCAGAATGCCATTTCCTAAGCGGGGGACGAGGTGAGGATGTCCATGGCTACTTCTTCCACCCTTGGTGCTGCAGTCGGCTCCTTTGTCACATCTTCGGGGGATCTGTGCCAACACTGGCAGCTTTGTTTTTCTTAACTAAGTAGGCTTCTCTGTTAGCTGGCAAGGGACATCAGGGCTCACACTGACCAACGAGCCCATTTTCCCCAAAGCCTGAGAGGTCTCCTGGGTGCTGAAGTATTGCGGCTCCTGCTAAACCAAGATGCTTTGCCACCATTTTGTTGTCTTTTGGTGAATCACAGATCCACCTAGAAGGGTTCTGCTAAGCCTGGTGGAACCCCAAAGCCAAGGACAGACACCCCCAGGCCTCTCAGGAACACTCCCTACACCGAGCCTCTGCCCCAAGTGGAAGGGACAGTAACCTAGACAGAGTTGAGTTAAGCCATGCGCAGCACCAGCCAGCCCTTTAGGTGTCCATGGCCAGATTCCAAATCATAATAACTATTCTGTGATTGGGTCACCCCGCTGGCAACCACAGATTGGCCATGTCTCCTTGGGCCCTGCATGTATGTGGCGCACAGACAGACCTGCAGGCAAAACACGGAACAACCCACGTGCATAACAATAAATAAATTTTTCATGGATATTTTAAGATGATGTAATCATCACCTTTTGTTTTGTTTTTGTTTTTGTTTTTGAGACAGGGTTTCTCCCGGCTATCATCATCTTTTTTAAAGGCAGACTATGGTATTCCATGAGTAACTGCAGTAGTCTCAGTGAGTTTTCTTTGCTCAATCTGTAACTCTCACATTTGTTTCTTCTTCACTCCCTTTCAGGGCTGTAGCCATGCTGTTACTTTGTGTCCGCTTACTATGAAGCTTCACGCCCTGCTCCATTCTGGACCAGAGATCTTCATTCTCTCTCCTGTCGCCAGGAGTATTTAAAACAGGATGCGCAAGGCCACAGTCTAACACGGTCTAACACATGCAGAGAACTCGATGGAAGGTTATCGCTATTTTTGTTGCCTAAGCGAAGGGGCGCAAAGTGAGGCGGTGTGAAAAGGGCCCCTCAGAACAGTTTCAACCATTTGGTCGATTCCCTGGCCGAAAGCTCCTTTTCTTGACGGGACAGATTGAGAGACAACTGGAACGTTCTGGAGCCAGAGCCGGTGCTTGCTGAGGCCTGCCATACTTGGGTTCCTTGCAGTTCCTCCCAACCCAAAGACTTCTGTGACAGGAGAGGATTAGTGTGGCTTAGAGGGGTCTCCAGGGAATGTGGTCTCCTGGATAAAACTGTCAGCAAATGGACCTGCTCGGGACTATTTGTGATGACCCCCAGGGATGCCTCTTTCCCCCTTCACGGGCTATCAGGATGTATTACTGCTTCAATCCACCGGGATTGTAAGAGTTCACACTGAGCTGCTGACCAGAGTTGAGTCTCAGCCTATCACCTGCTATTGAATCTTAATTGTCCGCGTTGACGGCAAAGGCAATGGGGAGTCTAAGCTCCCATTGATGGCGGAGATACTGGAGCCTCGGAGATGGAACCCAAACTCTGTGGCACCGTCAGATACACGTGTGCGCGCACACAGCACCCTCCGCAGGGACACTATTGATATTTGTGCTTCCTAAAGGAAGCCCGGAAAACTCAAATTACTCCATCAAGGAGACCTCTCATGAAATATAGTAGCCTCGAAACCGGAGACCACTGGGTATCCTTTAGAAGAAGGAACCAATTAAGAGAGAATTTTTAAATGGTAACTGTCCACCCAGTGGCGGAGATGAAAGAAGGAGAAAGGGATATACGCAGATAGTCGTGTCTCCCCGCCCCCAAAAGCTGCCTTTGTATATATTAGCAAGCAACTGGACAAAGTCTGCCCACTGCACCTGCAAGATCAAACAGTGTGGGTTGGATGGGGCAGGCAAGGTGTGTGTGTGTGCAAATAACAGATCTTATTCAACCTAGGAAAATGCCAGCAACTTGTATGGTAAAGGATTCAGACTTCGGTCCCGTTCTAGTCCCGGGTTTCTATTGCATAAATCAGAGAAAATACATAACTTACTCAGACAACCCACTGAAAAAGTACCATGATTATTGTTCCACCGTATACGTGAAAACTAGGCCTGGCACGGTTAAGTAACTTCTCGAAGGCGGTCGCCAGAGTTCAGATGCAAACCTGAGGTCTCACTGTGTCGCGTGAGATGGTTCTGGCAATCACGTTTATAGACCATTCTGCTGTTGAAGAGTTAGCAGATGCTTCACGTTGGCTGGCGATTCAGAGGACTCGGCCCTGGTGAATTAGCAGCAAGTCAAAACAATACTTACTCCTGTCGGTTTTTATCTGATTTAAATTCTTACATGTCGGCCTTAAAATGCCTACAACTTACGTAAGGCTGCGACTTTAGTGGGAAGAGGCCCTTTTAAGTACAAGATGAATTAATTATATAATCCAGCTGCCCCCCCCCAACAGATAATGCTAATCCCTTCAGGCTACAGAAATGAAAGACTAAGCCAATGCCCCCACAAGAAGAATGTAGCTTAGTCTCTGATCTGGGCACATTTAAATCATTAATCTCGGCTCCACGTATCGTGTACCACACTCTAAAAGAAGCATTCTACGAAATAGATGTTTACTGTACACCGTCAGTTTCCCCACCTAATCGTGCATAATCTTCTTAACAATGCTAACACGCAGAGTTTACAGAGAACACTAAGAGTCGGATAGATCTAAGGAGCTAGGATGCGGTGCCCAAACTCTGTCCCCAAAGCCTGGGCTTTCCCCAGCACACCTTCAGCTTGGCGTGCTGCATTCTCCAAGGTACCAGGACAAGCCACACAGAGGAACAGCTGCCGTAAAGGAAAACCCAGGAGCCAAAGACACTGCTTCCAGGGGTAGGGGCTATCACAAAGCAAAGGGACTGGCTGGCTACTGGGTTACGGGCAGGGACAGCCTGGATTGCAGCTGCTGTGGGGCAGGGGGTCGGAAGACTCACCTGAGCTGGCTCACCTGTCCACGAAAATGGACTGAGTCCCCTGAGCTGGCTCACCTGTCCACCACAAACACCAACTGAGTCCTCTGAGCTGGCTCACCTGCCCATGAACACGGACTGAGTCCTCTGAGCTGGCTCACCTGCCCATGAACACGGACTGAGTCCTCTGAGCTGGCTCACCTGCCCATGAACACGGACTGAGTCCCCTGAGCTGGCTCACCTGTCCTTGAGCACAGACTGAGTCCCCTGAGCTGGCTCGCCTGCCCACGAACACAGGCTGAGTCCCCACCACAGTGATGGCTTCCTCTGCCTCCTGGATGATACAGAGAGCAATAGCCAAGATTCCTAGTTGGAGGTTAGAACATCTGGTCTTTTGGATTCTCACACACTGGGGTTTCTGTAAGATCCTGTTGCTGCAAAAATAGGTAGATTTGTTTTATTTTCTATGAAAGCATTTCCCCCCATTAAATTAACAAAATCATCCTCTTTAGCCAGGCGGTAGTTTCTCACGTCTTTAATCCCAGCACTCAGGAGGCAGAGACAGGTGGATCTCTGTGAGTTTGAGGCCAGCCTGGTCTGCAAAGCGAGTTCTAGGACAGCCAGGGCTGTTACACCAAGAAACAAAGAAAAAAAAATTCTCTTTAATTCTAAGTGGAAAATAATGTTTGTGCTTTTTTTCTCCTTTAGAAGAAAGATTAATAAAAATTATCTATACAGCTCTAGAACATACAAAATTTTTCTTCATTCCTTCATCTTGTAAAATGAGCATTTCATTTGTGAAATTGTGAGTTTTTCCTCCCGTGTTTTTGCTGATTCCTTTGCTAGAGACACACTCGGCTTTAAAGAACATAATTACCAGTACTCCATTTGATTATCAACACTCATTGTTCCTCTGAGAGTTCTGTCTCTGGGTTACCCGTGATCTTAGGGCACTTCCTGCCTTAGCGGATGGTGAGGAGAACAGGATTTGTTCTACCAAAGCGAGAGAGTGCGGTGAGCGTCACCTCCTAGCCAAGTGTTCACTGGATTTTACCAGATTTGCTTTGTTTTGTTGTTTGCTGTCCCACGAGCCAGAAGCATTCGAGATGAGTCGGGGATGGGACGAGATAGGACAGCGTTCCCAAATGACACACAGTGGGAGAGGGACTTAGAACTTTCTGCTTGGACTGGAGAGATGGGCTGGTGGGTGAAAGTTCACTCTGCTCTTGCTGAGGAGCCACACTCAGTTTCTAGTGGCTTCCGGCACCCACATCAGGCCTCTCTCAAGTGCTTGTAGCCCCAGCTCCAGGGACTCCAATCCCCTTGGACCTCTGAGGACACTTGTACCCCCACAGGTGCGTACCCTTCCCCTCAGACACATAAAACAAACAAACCTTCTTCCTAATTAAGCCACTAGTACCTTGGTATAGTAACAACTTAGTAACAACTAACATCTTTCCTGCCCAGAAATGGATGCGTGAAACATACACCTGGATTGCTTTACATTTCCGTCTATCTTCTTTGTTTCTTTTTGCCGTTCTTGTTGGTTCTGGGGATTGAATCTTGGCCCTTGTATATGCTAGGCAGGTTCTTTACCACTGCAAGGCTATAACCCTAGCCCTTCTGCTTCCATTTAAGTGATTAAGTCTTGAACACCATCCCCTCAGACTCACAACAATTCTGGGGCACAGGTAGCCACGTGTGGTTGATGCCTCCCATACACAGACAAAGTACAGTTCCATGTCATCAGAAGTTCTGTCGGACAATGCTGGCAGTGTTTATCTTTAAGCTGGCCTGGTTATTTGCGAACAGCTACAAACTTTCTCCTGAGCAAATTCGCAAGGCAGGCAGTTGAAAGAGAAGACAACCCTCCTGCACAAGGGACACACTGAAGAGGATGCTTCCGTCTAAGTGAAACCTGGATTTCAACACCCTAGCCCACAACCATATCATCTCCTGTAGGAGTTCAGAAAGGGGCTGGGAAAATAGCTCAGTGACTAAAGACCTTTGCTGGAAAGCCTGGAGACCAGAGTTCAATCCCTAAGCCTCATTTGATGGAAGAACCAACTCCTGTGGACTGCCCTCTGACCTCCCCCCACACACGCGCCATGCACAGCACGCATGCACTACCCCCCCAATATAAAATAAATCAACATTTTAAAGTCATTTGGTAGGATTTAATAAGTGGGTCAATAACACAAGAACACACTTCCTCCTTCTCTGCATCTTCAGCGAGTGCTCCTCGGTGCCCTGGGCCTCAGGCTGGTCCCCATCACTGTCCTAAGATCCCAGCATATTTCCAAACCTCATCAGGGGCATCTCTGCCCAGTGGGACAAGATGGTATCTCTTCCACTGGAATAAAATAAAGGTTAAAAAAATGTTAAAACTACAAGAGAGTGTGATTACATGTGTTCCCCATTGTGTATATTTTTTTAAAAAAAATAAAATAAAAAGGCAGAGTGAAATACAAAGGGCTATGACATGTTGGCTACTGTCCCCTGCTAACTCATACGGGAGTTGCCTCCATTTGTAGAAAAACATGACAGGTTAAAGAGAGTTGGCCAGAAAGCAGAACTAGACCATTTCAGAAGCGCTCTCCTAAAGGGACGGGGGAGATAGAAAAGCAGCAGAGAGAGCACAGGCCGTGCGGGTCCTCATTTTGTTTAGCACATGAGAGTTGATGCTCTTTAAGAGGCCGAAGGAAGCTGACAGCATCGGGAGCCAGTGTGAGACAAGCTGGGCTTCTCCCAACGACGCTGTATCTGGCTCCTTGCCCAAATAATCTCTCAGGCAGCTCTAGACCTAGGTCAAGTCCTTGCTCACACGTCACCTCTCAGGGCAGCTTCCTGCAGCCCTACCTGTGTGACTGGCAAGCCTCCTGCACGCTACCCCCATCTCTCCATTTTCCTAGCACAGGTCGGCACTTGATTGCACGCTCAGTAACTTATGACTGACTTTTGGTGATGATTCCTGCTTCTTTCTCCCTTTCTAGAAGGCCGACTCCACAAGAACCTTTACTGCAGTCACTGGCAAATATATCTTGAATAATACTTTGGATTATTTCTATTTTGATTTGTAAAAATATTTTTATTAAAATTTTGATATTTTATTAAATGTTTTAAATTTAATTTTAATATTTTTATTGAAGTAAACAAAGGTATTCTTTCAGAATTTCATAAGTGTATGTAATAAATTACATACCCCTCATTTCTTCCTCCCAACTTCCCCTCAGGTCCCTCCAAACAACTTCATGCCTTCCTCTTTTTAACCCACAAAGTCCAATTAGTGATGTCCATAATCTTGTCTCTGTGAGGCCACCCACTAGCAGACAGACAACCTATTAGTGGCCACACCTTCAATGATAAACTCTTCTCTTTCCCCTGGCAACCACTTAATAAATACCTTGAATGGATGTATTCTGATACCATGTTTGGTTTGTTTTCTGGGTTTGTTATTGATTGTTTGTTGTTTGTCTTGACATGGTCTCATTTTTGTATCCCCAAACTCACGATCCTCCTGCCTCAGCTGAGACCAAGTGCTAGGGTTAAAGGTGCATGCCACCACTGCTGGCCTCTACTAAGTTTTCAACTTCACCCCTAACCAAATATCCATAGCTGTTCCTGGTACATGGTCAGGCTCATAATTGTACAAGGTAATTGTACAAGAAGTTAATAGGATTCAGAGTTTGAAGGGAACCAGTTTAAAGCATTGGCGAGAGCCAGGACCCGTGGTGTACACCTTTAATTTCAGCACTCAGGAAGCAAAGGCAATCGTATCTCTTTGAGTTTGAAGGAGCCTGGTCTATATAGAGTTCTAACCCAGCCAGGGATATATAGTGAGACTTTTTCTCAAACAAAAAGTTAAAGGAAACCAAAGAAGAGCTTAAGAAACGTGACTTATGAGGTGGAAGGAAAGAAAAAGCACACAAACACAAACATTAATAAAGGAACCAGAGAGAGGGTTTGACAGTTGGAAGTTCTGCCTGCTCCTTCAGGGGACCCAAATTGATTCCCAGCAGCCACGGGGCAGCTCCCAACTGTCTATAACTCCATTCCAGGGAAATCAGACACCCCCTTCCGGCCTCTAAAGGCACCAGGCATGCATGTGGCGCACAGACACACTTGTAAGCAGGGTACCAATACATTTAATAAAATAAAAATTAAGGAGATATTAATGAGCTAAGCTGGATGCAGAATCAAAATCCGGTTCCTTTGTTCGGATCTGGCGCTGCCACGTACTGCTCGCGCAAAGGGCTTTTTACAGCTGTGTTTTCACTTTTCTCTTGTTTGCTTGTTCGCTGAGGTGGATCTCGCCGTGTAGCACGGGCTGGCCTCGCGCTTGTGGCGACACTCCGGCCTAAACCTTCCCTGGGATTACAGGCCGGAGCCCACGTCTGCTCCCAGCCCCTTTTGTAAAGTGCAGATAATGACTGCATCTCTCTCAGCGAGCTGCCTGTGAGCAAGCAAGCTACCACCCTGGAGTACCCTGGAGTTATTTTAAACAGTACCTGGTTCACAGTCGGTGGTCTAAGAACTGCCCGTGGTTCCGGGGATGTACCGATGGTTCCGGGGACCCAGTACCCATAGTAACAGTAGTACAGATGGTTCCCGGGACCCGGCAGAAAGAACACAGAGGAGGAAATGTGCCAAGCACCACATGGAAGGAAGGCAAGAAGACAGTAAGAAACCCAGGCTCCAGAGTTAGGCTCAGCTCGGGTTGGGGAGGTACCCTCACATGCTCTGCCTCTACAGTGACGAGGTACATTCCGGGAGCCTGGCTAGGTGGTGGTTATGAGGCAGACACGAGACACTCACTGCCTGAACTCCTGCTCTAATAAAGAGATTTAAAATTGATGACTGGCGTTTCAGAATACAGACAGACGGCAATCCCTGCGAGAAATGTAAGAATGGCAATGGTTTCTCCCTCCTCCCACCAGACCTTTTCTGGGTTTCTTTGAGGTTTATCATTTAGTATGTTTAAGCACATTTGGGGAATCTAAGAGATTCTGACGGTGCCCACTGCAATGGCTGCTAAGGGCCGCAAGTCTCTGGAAAAGACAATTCCCCAAAAGGGTGGCTGGGGAAGGCAGATAAAAGACCTAAGTTGGGTCACGTGACAGGTGTCACTTGAGGAAGATACCAAGGCCAGAGATAAAAGCCCACTCCTTCTGGTCACGTGATACAGCTTCATTAAGCTCCCGGCAG